GTCGGGTGGGGTGGGGTGGGGCTGGGTCGATGGGTTTGAGGGGGTAGTGCAGGAGGGTGTGTGTGGGGGTGTGTCACACCCTTGCCAGTGGCTAGGGTGTGAGCACAGGGAAACGAGGGAGAGGCAAGGAGAGGAGGAAGGGCAAGCAAGGGATGGGGCCATGGAAGGGGAGGGCAGCAGCAAGGGCAGCGCTGGGGCCTTCATGTCATGAAGCAAGACAACAGGGAAATCTGCAAGGCAGACTGGCCCCCGTAACAATGTGCAGGCATCCGCCGCGCGAGAGCGTGTTGGCGTGCAAGCTCGCGGCCGCATGTGGCGTCCACGTGTCCCCTCGCCGCGCACGAGCGTGCGGCACGCTTGTGCGCGCGCAAAAACACGTACACATGCACACGCATACGCGCACGCGCGCGCACACACACACACACACACACACACACACACACGCGTACACACACACACACACACACGCGTGCGTACACTCACGCACGCACACGAATGCACACACACTCAAACACAAGCTCGAATGCCATTTCAGGCTCTCACCTCCCCTCGTGGGTTCTTTGCAACGAAGCAGTCGTCATCAATCGTGAAGACGTAGCGCTTCTTAGACACCAGGAAGCCGAAGCAGCGGCAGGCGCTGTCCTTGTAGCTGATGCACCACGCCTTGTCCCCCAGCAGCTTCTCTATGTCATCCCTGACAAAACGCGGCGGGCAGACATGGTTTTGCCAGGGTCGCTTTGTTATTGTATTGTTGTGGTACCTTGATTTAGAGAAGAGCTGCGATGCCCTCCATGAGGGCAGGGAGGCAACACACACACAGAAAACACGCATGCATGCACACACACACGCATGCACACCCACACACCGGCATGTTCGAACGCACATGCGCGCGCGCGCACACACACACACACACACACACACACATACAAACACACACACACACAAACACACACACACACACACACACAGGCCAAGCTGCGTCCAGCTCCACTGGAAGCACTCGCTGGCTCTAGTGCAAAGCGGTTCGATGGGTGCAGTGGGTTGAGCCTGCGATCTGGCCCCTGCCGCTGCTGCTGTTTGCCAATGACAAGTCTTGCCCCTCATGAATTGCACCTGTTGTACAGCTCGTAGTCATATCCTTCTGGCACGCGCACAGTGCGGGTGGGGTCCCCGTCTTGGATTATGATTCTGGGAGGTGTGCCAATTTTTGAGGGAGAGAGGTGAGGGCAGGGGAGGGGAGGCGGGCAGGAGGCGGGGCAGTAGGGGGGGCGGGGGAAGGAGGAGGGTGAGTGCAGCAGGGAGGGTTGTAGGCATGGGCACGCCGTGGGCGCCTCTCCAGAGCGTTGTTTAAGCGTCACGGCGCCACTGAAGCGGCCGTGTTGCAGTGCCGTGCCGCTGTGGTGGTGTGCCACACGGCTCAGTCGCCAGTGGCCCGGACAGCCCAGCTGCCAAAACTGACCCGGGCGCGCAGTTTCGAAGGAGCGCGGTGCCCTTACAGATGGTATGGCTGGAAGAAGGGCCGCCACTGCTCCAGGAAGTCCAGATTGCGGATTGTAGGTATCACAATATCTAATTGATCGGCCAGAGCAGCACCCCGCCGCGCAAGGTTTGCGGTCGACAGCGCCAGCGGCGCCGCCGTGCCTGACACGCTGCCGTTCATAGTCGCGAGCTGTTTCGGGGTCAGATTGAAGTTTTCGTCTCCCTTGCCGTTGAGGTTGACTGCCGAGGGCCCCTCAAAGGCAGCAACAAGTTTGGACGAACCACCCCCACATCAACCTCGTGGATCTTTCTTCAGCAAATCCCAGGACTTTCAATTTGATTTGTTCCAAACCACGGCTCAATGTGAGTCAAGAAGCGCGCTGCAAACCGCGCTCACATGGCCCGCGGGTGACACGGGGAAGCATACAGCTGCACGGGGGTGCTGATGCGGCCAATTGAACTAGGTTACATAAATTTACTATGAATTATTCTGTATAGAGCGAGTCAGTACAGACTGACGGTGTCGATGACGAGATCACCCCCGCAGAAACGTTGTGCACCAGGGGCCGCGTTTGAGTCTGATCAGAGAAAATAAATCTTTTATTAGTGTATCCAGTGTTCTGCAGCTCAGAGCCTCCCGCCTCCTCAGCTGCACCAAAGTTTGCCCTCGATTCAATATACGCACCTCGTCGTTCGGTTGCATAGTGACTTTGAGGCGTTCGTTCGATCACGCTTTAGTTCGCTCGACCCTGCTGCTGTCGGAGCTGATCACCTCACACGACAGACAGCCGGCGCTGCCGCTATGGCACCTCCTCGCATGGGCCCCGCGGTCGTCGCCGCCTTGTTGCTCCTCTTCTGTGTCTCTAACGGTACGATCTGGGTTCGTTAGGCCACTTCAGCGGTTGCATGTGCCGCGGGGGGGCGCGCAGCGGCGACGGCTGACGTGGTCAGTTGCATGCAGCTTCAGCTGCCTTCCGCCACCTCACCCTCTTCGCAACTCCCTCAGAAAAGGGCATCCCTGCATGGCAAAAAAAACCCCAATCCCCTCTTGTATCCCATACTCATGACCTCGGCGGCTTGGGATCTGCTCCGAAAGCCCCCCTCCTTGACCTCCCACCCACCCAACCCACCACCTTGGCCC